AAAAAAAAAAAAAAAAATTACTAAGTATATATAAGAGAAAATCAAACAAAAAAGATTGGAATGAAAAAATCACAAGATCAATAAAAGATGCAGACCTAGTTTAGTTACTCAGGAGACAGAGGCAGGAGGATCCCTTGAGCCCGAGAGTTTAAGGCTGCAGTGAGCTATGGAGGCCAGGAATTCGAGACCAGCATGGGCAACATGGTGAAACCCCGTCTCTATTAAAAATACAAAACTGCCAGGCGTGGTGGCTCAAGCCTATAATCCCAGCACTTTGGGAGGCCGAGGCGGGTGGATCACGAGGTCAAGAGATCGAGACCATCCTGGTCAACATGGTGAAATCCTGTCTCTACTAAAAATACAAAACATTAGCTGGGCATGGTGGCACGTGCCTGTAAATCAGGCTACTTGGGAGGTTGAGGCAGGAGAATTGCCTGAACCCGGGAGGCGGAGGTTGCGGTGAGCCAAGATCATGCCACTGCACTCCAACCTCGGTGACACAGCAAGACTCTGTCTCAAAAAAAAACAACCAAAAACTCACATACACATACACACATACACCTCATACACACAAATTGCCTTTTTTAGAGCACTGATAATATTTAGATTATTTTTTTGGCCAGGTGAGGCGCCTTATGCCTGTAATTCCAGCACTTTGGAAGGCCACGGCGGGTGGATTACCTGAGATCAGGAGTTCAAGACCAGCCTGGCCAACACAGAGAAACCCTGTCTCTACAAAAAATACAAAGTTAGCCAGGCACGATGGTGCATGCCTATAATCCCAACTACTTGGGAGGCTGAGGCAGAAGAATCACTTGAACCCAGGAGGCAGAGGTTGCCGTGAGCAGATATCTCACCATTATACTCCAGCCTAGGCAACAAGAGCAAAATTCCATCTCACAAAAAAATAATAATAATAATAATTAGCCAGTTAGCCAGCTGTGGTGGCATGTGCCTGTAGTCAGCAGCTATGGGAGGCAGGATTGTTGGAGCCTAGGAATTTGAAGCTGCAGTGAGCTATGATCGTGCCACTCCACTCCAGCCCCAGCCGGGGACAGAGTCTTACTGTGTGTGTGTGTGTGCGTGTGCATGTGTGACATGGATCTCACTCTGTTGCCAGGCTGGAGTGCAGTGGTGCAATCTCAGCTCACTGCAACCTCCGCCTCCCGGGTTCAAGTTATTCTCCTGCTTCAGTCTCCGAGTAGCTGGGACTACAAGAGCCTGCCACCATGCCTGGCTAGTTTTTGATATTTTAGTAGAGACGGGGTGTCACCATGTTGGCCAGGATGGTCTCCATCTCCTAACTTCTGATCCACCCGCCTTGGCCTCCAAAAGTGCTGGGATTACAAGTGTGAGCCACCGCGCTGGGCCCACTCTGACATTTAAAAAAAAAAAAACTCTAGCAGTTAAGCTATCTGAAGAGCTTAGACACTGTTCCCAGCGCCCCTACACAACCACATGGAGTCACAGAATCGTTTCAGAAGATGTCTCAGAGGTTAATTGATACCCCAATTCTTGAACTTCCCCAAAGGTAAAAATTACCTGGAGTGTTGGAGTGTTGTTAAAAAGGATTCCTAAGCTCCAATCCAAACCCGTAGAATCAGAATTTCCAGGAGAGATGCCCAGTAATTCATATTACTAACAAGTACTCCATATGACTATTTTACTTATTATTTATTTTTGAGACAGGATCTTGCTCTATTTCTTACAGGTAGTTAGGCATGAGCAGGGCAGCTGAGGGCTCTCCCTGACTCACCAGGAATGTCAGGTGATGGTTTGGCAATTATCACATTGCTTCTCTAAAAGTAATAAATTGGCCAGGCACAGTGGCTCATGCCTCTAATCCCAGCACTTTGGGAGGCCGCGGCAAGCAGGTCGCCTGAGGTCAGGAGTTCAAGGCCAGCCTGGCCAACATGGTGAAACCCTGTCTCTACTAAAAATACAAAAATTAGCTGAGTGTGGTGGCACATGACTGTAGTCCCAGCTACTCGGGAGGCTGAGGCAGGAGAATCGCTTGAACCTGGGAGGTGGAGGTTGCAGTAAGCCGAGATCACACCATGGCACTCCAGCCTGGGCAACAGAGTGAGACTCCATCTCAAAAAAATAAAATAAAGTAAAATAAAAGTGATAAATTGGCAGCCCAGGCCAGAGAGAAGCCATTTCCTGATGGTCCACACCTGTCGCACTAAAGTGTTAGTTGAATGTAGATGGCAGGGAGAAGCAACTTCCCAGGCATGCACATTAAGAGACAAAATGGTAGAGCATGGACTTCTGGAGGCACGCCACTGGTAAGGGGGAGAAAGCCTCAGAGAGGCATGTGTACAACTTCCTAAACACACTGTGCATGCTTACCTCCCAAGGGTAAGGAGGGCACTGCATACATAGGCAGCCCACCCCATGGGAAGAATTATGGGAAAGGGGCCAGTCTGTAAAGTCCTAGGATCAAGGTTAAACACCGCACTTGTCCTGCTTGGCACCCACTTGGGTCTCTTCCAAGTGTACTTTCTTTTCTTCCCTAAAGCTTTTTTTTTTTTTTTTTTTTTTTGAGTTATATGTTTATTCGGAAACTTCTAACTAGTTGTATAACTAACCCATGACAAAGTACCAGATTAATTTTACTTTATTTCTTCAGGCCTGGGATTTATCAAAGACTTCAAATTTGGGATCTTCAAATATGAAGGTGTCTCCTTTACCAAACATTTGCTTGAGCTTAAAAAGCTCCTTCTCCAGATCTTGCTGATATTCTGGACCAGCATCAACAGATCCTCCAGATTTCTGTTGCTTAGATTTGTATTCTCTAATCTTGTCCACAAAGAGTTTCTTTATAGGATCAAGTTCCTGATTTAATGCCACTGCTGTAACACCAATGTTCTTCCGCAAATGGACCGAGACTGCTGACTGAAGGACAGAGGACCTGAAGAACCTCTGAAGACTCATGCTAATTCTGTTACCTGC